GGCGGCGGCGGCGGTATGAAGTCGCGTCGGGACAGGCTGAAGATCCCCTCGCTGACCTTGGAGTGAGTCGGAGCCGGGGCGGGGTGGGCCGGTACCGGCACCGGAACCGGCACCGGGGGAGGGCGGCGGGACCCCCCGGTCATCCCCGTTCCGCTGCTTCCCCGTCCCGGCGCATCCCCCATCCCGGTCCATTCCCGTCCCGCGGCATCCCCGCCCCCGGGCCGCAGGTCCCGCTCCTTTTCCCTGCAGTCACAGCCCCGGACGCCCCCGGTGACAGTCCCCGCCACAGCCCAGACCACCCGCTGTCCCTGCCCGCCACAGCCTCAGACCCTGCAGTGTCCCCGCTGTCCTCTGCGCTCCCCCTCCAKCTCTGCCTGACCCCTCCTCCAGCCCATGTCCCCTCTGCTCTGGACCCCTGGCCGCCTCCAGACSCAGGGGACAGGGCCACCGAGGGGCCACCAGCGCCATCCATCAGCCGCTGACACGGCGCCGGCACGTCTTGCCTTGCAGCTTGTCTCCGAGCAGCCAGAGCCCGACGCTGCTGAGCCCCTGCAGCCCCTGCAGCCCCTGCAGCCCCTTACTAACCCTGCACCCCTGGAGGTAAGGCCCCCCCAAACCTTCCCACCTGATCAAGGGAATGAGGGGGGAGAGGTGGAGATGGGGACAGAAAAGTGGGACCCCTCCACCTGGGATGTCCTGGGGCGCCCCAAAAGGGAACTACTGTCTGTGATGGGATGCAGGGGGTGATGTGGCCGGGGTCTGTGCCCAGCCCTGCTGATCTCAAACCAGCCAGGCTGCGCTGCTGGCGTTATTCTGCCTATGACCGATCCATTTTGGGGGGGCCCAATGGGAACGTCGTGGCGGCAGCTCAAGCTCGGGCTTTGAGCACCTTTGTCGTGAAGGGGAACCTCGAGAGCGGGCTGGGGGCTGTGATGGGAGCGGGGTGCGAGCGGGGATGGCACCTGGGAAACCTCCTTGGTCACCTTTTGTGCTCTTCCGTGGGTTGAAAATGAGGGGGGGCTGCTCGAGGGGGTGGGTGCCCCCTCCTCMAATGCCACAATCCCCTCGCTGTGCCCCACCGGTGGAGGTGACAGCAGGGCYCTGCGGCGTGTGCCAGCCGCGCTGTGCCCCGGGGACAAGGTGCACCAGGTGCGCTGGCACCGGCGGTCACACCCCGCCCTGTGCCCCRTGGCACCCGCGGCACGGCGCCGCACCTGCCCGGCACCCGCGGGTGACGCCGGTGCCTCCCGCCCTCCCTCCCTCGCTCTGCCGGGGACAGCAGCTGGTGCCGGCGGGGCGGGAGCCGGCGGGGAGCTCCGCCGCTGCTCAGCAACAGGCAGAGCCATTTGCTGCGGGCTGGGGCTGCCTGTGGCCTGCCTGCTGCCCCCTCCGCTAGCCCCGGGGCTGTCCGTGCCC